AATAAGCCTTTCTTTGGGTTTAAAAAAAAAAGCGCCCACAAAGGCTCATAAAAAGCCAAATCATTAGCAATTTAGTTTTTTTTTTTTTTTTTTTCAAACTACTTAACATCATCTTATAATGATTAATCTGCCAAATAATAATGTCACATGCTCATGATATGATGGGTCTGCCTGAGCATTGTGGCTCATTGAAATCAGCCACTTACGCTTATCCACTTATTAGATTTCGACAACATGATTTTTCTTTATTTTTTGGGGATTATTTTTTAAGGCCTGAATATTAAGATTTTATAACATAAAAGATACTAAAATATTTCATAATGTTTAAGATTTCCCTCAACATCGATCCAGAAAAATTCAATCCAAAGGAATTTCTCCTGGACAAACATCACAGAGAAATCTCACCAGAGAATTTCTTGGATGCAATGCAGAGAAATTTCTATCTTCTACCCCAAGAAATTTACTCAACCCCAGAGAAAATCCCCTCCAACCAGAGAAATCACTTGTGTTGTCTACAGTTTATGGTTTCAGGATTTGAATGCATAATTCACAGAGAAAATCTTACCAGAGAATTTCTCTGGATTCAACCAAGAGAATCTTCCCTCTCCACCCCAGAGAACTTTACTTCAATCAGAGGAAATCCCCTCAAAACTAGAGAAATTCATTGTGTTTCTGTAGTTAGGTTCGTGATTTGATCTTAAAACGCCCCAAATTCTTAGCCCCAAATGATAATACAAACCAATCAATGCTCTTTCAAGGGAAAAACAAATATAAATCTCCAAACTTTACTACATGATACAATAGTTCTTCATGTAACCAATACATTAATTCCAATAACAAGTAAAATAAATAAATAAATATCCCCAAGGGTTACAAGTTTTCAAGGCTTGAGCTGGTTACACAAATGTTATTTAAATCCACACACTACAGCCTTGGTTTTTTTCGTTTACACACTGAGTCATAGCAAAATGAGACGTCTCCGTACTTCAAACACATTTTTCACATATTTCCTCGCCTTTAGTTAGGCGGGATCACCACATCTTTTCCTGCACAAAAATCCCGTAGGGTGAGCATAAAGCCCAGTAGAAAATCCTTAACAAATTATATATATTTTATACAAGTCTCAAGAGATGAAATGCACTGCCATGCTATGCCCCTTTTGAAGATAAATCACATTTTCATCTTTTGAAAGCCATCATGCTCAATGATGTCATACAATTTCGATTATTCAAAACTTAACAATTTATTTCGAGGGCGGTAAATATGACTCTGGTAATCCTTAGGTCGGTGTATGCATGTAGACTATACAAGTACTACTAAATTGTCATTTTTACCGGTATTAATCGGAAGGCTCGACATCTATCCGCGCGAGTTTTCAGTCTTTCACCCCGGACTCTCAGGCCAACTTATTCAATATCATCTACACCACCTATCAAGATGTATCAACGTATTTACCCCAAAATCATTCCATGAAAACTTGTTTCTGAACATTCTTTTCTCAATGCAAGTTTTCAAATCAACTTTCAAAGTTTAATGTAATCAAATGAATTGTTATGCCAATAACACAAGATGAATATAAATATTTTTATTCCAATTCATCATCCAAGGAATAACACAATTCCCTATTCTCAAGTATCCTCAACAATTAGTCATTTCAAGACTATTTCAACGTTTTAAACAATAATTTCTAAAATGAACAACAATTCTCATATTCCCTGAAATTCATCATTTATATAAATATAAATAAAAAAAATTTCAAACATCCATTTATTTTGACACATAAAATAAATATAACAATATCATTCATGGATTTTCAGTCTCTTTTAAAAAAATCTCCAAATTCTTGGTTTTCTCACCAAAACTATACAACTCAAATCTTTTGAAAGAAAACTTTTCAAAATCATCTTTTTTTTCAATCAACGAAAATCAAAACTCATAAGATCATTTTAAAAGAACAAGAGACAAACTCACTTTCAAAATCGCTCAACTTCTTAAATCAATAATCAATTTTCAAAGCTATTGAAAAATGATTTCGAAAATCATATAGATCTTGCAAATCTATATATATAACTCTAAGAAAATCCCTACCTTAAGTTTTGAAGAAAAAATGAGATGAAACCCCCAAAATCAACGGTATCGAAACTCGATCTTCACCGCACACAACGAAGCCCTCGATATGATAACCCATTTTGATGAAGAAGCAATGGCAAAACTCAAATGGATCTTGAGAAATCAAGATTTTTGATCTAGTTTGTGTAGAGAAATATAGAGAGGAAATGTTTTTAGAGAGAGAGATATACAAAGTGATCTGAAATATCAGATTCACGAACTGATATAACATGGTTCGCTCGAGCATGGAAAGCCCCGCTCGAGCGTCGAATACACTTTCCCAGTACTTTTGCAGACAGGTCAAACTTCTAGAACCAAACATTCTTCGCTCGAGCGCATAAACGGCCGCTCAAGTGGACAAGCAACTTCGAATGCATTTTGCATTTTTGCTTTGGGGGCACTGTCCCTCGACCCCACCAAGGCACTGCCCCTTGGACCCCCGCAAGCTGACCGGGTAGCTCGATCTCTGACATAGTCAACGAAGTGGCAAACATATGAAAGATATGCTACAACCCGATACAAACATGGGACATTACCTGTTCCAAACACACCGCTACAACCTGATAACCAAAATAAGGGGAATATAGGGAACTAAGATACGTAACACCGTTCAAAACTATACCAACCCGAGCTCGGAACACCACAAAGAGACGGGTCAAAACTGAGATTGCTACATGATCCAACATTATTCTTATACTACAAAAAGAGACTTGATCCAATAACCATATTTATGTCTATATTCATAATGAATTCAACATACAAAGTAATCCTTGGAAATTCTCTGGGTTTAAGACCCTGAACATTCAAATTTCTCTAGATCTCTAGGTTAACATCGAAAACCCTTGAACCTTTTTCAAATTTCTCTGAACTAACATTCAAATTTCTTTGGATCTCTGGACTAACATCAAAAACCCTTGACCCTTTCACAAATTTCTCTGAACTAATATCAAATTTCTCTAGATCAACATTCAAATCCCTTTATCTATCCAGAGAAAATTGAACACCACAGAAAAAATTAAACAAGGCAGAGAAAATTAACCAAACCAGAGAAATTTTAGCACAAAGTTCTCACATAGAGTATTGAGAAAGGTTTAATAGCAAGGTAGTTTTGTTTTCACTGCCTTGAGATTATAAGGAAGGGTTCCTAATAACAAAAAGTTAAATAAGGAAGAATTTCTGTAAACTTGCACTATTAGTAGCTTATGATCATAGTAAACAAATTGAAAAACTAGCAAGACTACCTTGTTATTTCTTGCATCTTCAATGATATCCTCAAGCATATCAATTCTACAAATTTGCCCAGATCAAGTAACCACAGTGTTCAAGGTAGGTTCATCCTCAAAATCAACCATTTCACCAGAAGAGATATTTTTTGTGGAAGCATCATTGAAACTACCACTTGATCCTGGTTTCTCGTGATCACTATTTATAACTGCTAATTGAAAGCTGCCTTTGGGAGCATCTGATGTGCATTCTTGGATGGGTGATGGAGCCACCTGAACCACAAAATTCTCTACCTCTGATTAATTAACACCAAACTATAATTGTTCTTAATGGCTTTCTTCATGGACCGTAGCGAGGAGGACGAGAGGTGATGGGATCGGGGGAACGACACTCTGAAGAAGCTTCGAGAGTGGTCGGAGATTGTCGCTGAGCCATGGTGGAAGACCTTCATACGGCGGTTCAATCGGAGCAAGAGTTACCGAGGAGTTCTTGACATAGGGCTTCTTGGATTGATCCAGCTGGATCGACGAGAGAGAGAGAAGAACAACGAGAAGAGAGAAGAGGTGAGGCATGAGTCTGAAAGAGAGAAGAGAGAGAGAGAGAGGCGAAGGTTTGAAGCCGTGAGGTATATCAAATTTCTCTGCAATACATGGGTGTGGGGTTGAGGGACCTTAGACATTATAAAATAATATTGTGGATATCTCCCATTACTAAAAATGAAAAAGGAACCTTAGACTAATTTTTCTTATTTTTTTTTATCTTTGATTTTTCTCTATGTTTTTAAATAAAAAAATTGACTTAAAAGAAGTTGTGAAACTAAATTTGTCACCTCTCACCACTTGGGGTTAAATTACTATTGATGATGTCATGACTTGAAATGGATAAAAGAAGTAGTGAATCTCACACGGTATTGGTGTAGTGTAAACCAAAGACCCTCCAAAAAATAAATCAGAGAAGAAAACTTGAAAAGAAAGGTAGGAATTAGGATTCGGGTATTGATTTCCCTAATGAATTGAACATGTCAACCTTATATAGTTTGGTCTTCACATGTTGATAAGTGGTCTTTAGTGGTTCAAGATTCCTTTCAACCATTGTGCCTATACGTGTCCTCATTTACAATGTTAGTTATAACTCTTGTACATATGTAATTGTGAGAATAACTTAACCATGTTCGAAACTACACGTGTCCTCATTTACATTTTTGCAATTATCAACAAACTATGATTGTGTGGAAGCATTGGATGCGCTAAAAGCGCTTCAATTGGGTTGTGATTTGGGCTCGGGTAATATTCAATTTAATGGAGATTCTCTTAATGTGGTGTCTGCAATTCAAGGCAAGACGAAAAACTAGTCTTGTTATGGTCATTTGGTGGGTGTTGCTCAGGTGCTACTCTTACGATTCCATTCCTCATAGGTCTCGCATGTTTGTAGAGAAGGCAATTCTGTGACACATTGTTAAAGTAGGCTAGCCTTTGATTTTGATTCACCACGAGTTTGGATGGAGGAGGTCTCTCTCTCTTTACTGGTGTTGGTGGATTTTGAGGTTTTTTTTTCTTTGTAATTTCTCATTTTAAATGGCCATGCACTGCCATACAATTTTCTGTATACTTTAATGTTCTTGCAACTGTGCTTGGGCCGAGAACTCCAACTAAGGGGCTCTTTTCAGAAATGTAAGCCTTTGCTAAACCTGGGGTCTCGTTATTTGGATTATAGAATGTTGCAATTTTCATTTATATCCAACACATCATTTCTGTTCATGCTTTAGGCTTGTAAGAGAATTATTATATAATAATTTTAGTATTTTTGTATCTTGAGTGCAGAATGATTTTCAAAGGCTATTTTGTTTTTCAAAAAATATTTTTCCGTAGAAGTCAAGACCAGCTAGTTTTGGTAGGCTAATTCATCGATGTTAATTTCCTTACTGTCTATTTTTGTCTTGTTGGCTATTTTTCCATTGCTTTTACTCATTTTGAATGACTAACCCTGCACTTTATTCAATTTCATCACTTCATACAACTTGAGATTGATTCAAGTTATTTTTTGGTACTATCAACATTAAATAACTAGAGGCATGACGTCCAAACTATCAGTAGTTAATGTTCATCTTGCTGATTAACAGTCATGTTGACTTCTCTTACAGATACGAACACTAGGCATGCTCAGGTCACGGTTCCAGTCTTTACCTGGTGCATTCAATACATATTTGGTTCCTTCTGATAAGACTAAGAAAATGGGATTTTCTCTCGCAAAACGTTTTTCTGAGGTTTCGTCTTGTGTTACCACACTTACTGTACAAAAATAAATATCCAGATCTAGTGATTTTATGTTTTTACGAACTTCTTTTTTTTTTTGATGAATGTCTAGGTTACAGCAAGCAAAAGAAGTGAAGCTGCAAAATTTGCTCAGTTATGGAATGAAATAATAGTAAGTTTCCGTGAAGAAGATCTCATAAATGACAGGAAAGGCCCCTTAACTGATTTCTTGTTTTCACCAGGCTATCTATTAATTCCTCGTGCAATTGTACTGAAAGTTTTCATTTATTCCAGGGAGATGGATCTGTTACTAGTTCCTTATTCATCAGATCCTAGCCTGAAACTAATTCAGTGGCCACCTTTTCTGCTTGCGAGCAAGGTCAGTGCGGTGTCCCAAAATTCTTGTGTCTGTTGCTTGTTTTTGTTGTTGACTGTGTACACTTGCAGATTCCGGTCGCATTGGATATGGCGGTCCAATTTCGATCTAAAGATTCTGACCTCTGGAGGCGTATATGTGCGGATGAATATATGAAAAGTGCTGTTATTGAATGCTATGAGTCTTTCAAACTTGTGCTGAATGCTTTGGTTGTTGGAGAAACTGAGAAAAGGTTGCTTTTTGGTACTTCGTTCATCAAGGAATTTAGTGGCCTGAACTAGTCATCCATTGTGATTTGATCATGTACCATATACGTCTTCCAGTAATTTTAGTTGTCTATGTATATATCTGCCTGAAGTTTAGGATTTTATTCTATTGATATTATTCATATCATTTTATCATTTGTTATATATATATATATATCTAGAAATTCTAATTTATATAACACTCCTGTTGTTATTATTATGAGGATCATGTTAACAACCACCATCTGATTTGTGGTTGAGACCAAAATTTTCACAGCTAATTCATACACCATGGATTTGCTAGACAACCAATAAGATGGTGACACATCAGCAAAATTAGCAAAATTCTGTCCTATAAAGCAACATTTACTTTCTTCGTAGGCTTTGCATTGCACCAACATTTTTTTGCCTATAAAGCATTTGGCATCCCCTGTTAATAGTCAACATTACAAACTTTTGTTTGTGAATCTAGGAGCAAAGATGGTCTCTAACCAACTATGGCTTTCTCACAATCAACTCTTTCACCGCTTCTTCTTTCTTTACTTGTTTAGGTAGCATTACTATATAGATATAGATTGTTATCTGTGAATAATTTTAAATCTGAATAGGCTAATGATTGGCATATTAAGGAGTGGTCCCTTCGTCTTTCTATTATACAATCAAATGGCTAACACTGCTGCAGGTATATTGAAGGTGGAAGGGGATTTTGCTGGTCCTGATATGGCCCCCTGTGGGGATGAGAATGATGATGTGCATAGATTGAAGTGAGTTTTGTGCTCGGCTCTGGTGAGTGTGTTGTTTGCGATTTATTTCTTTCTTGCTCTCTGCTCTGCTAGACTACAAAAAACCAAGTTTTTTTTTTTTTTTTTAACATATGAAAGAGTTGGAAAAACCAAAGAGATTTCTTTGAAATGATTAGTTTATTATGTACTCCCCAATGATTGAGTAGTTGCCTTGAAACACAGAGAACAAAAGCAGGAGAGAAAGAAAATAGAGGAAGAAGATGAAGTCTACAAATGACAACAACAATGGCAGCAATAGTCATAATAACAACTGGTTGGGTTTCTCTCTCTCACCCTACATGAAAATGGAGGTTTCTTCAAACCCTCATCATCAGTACAATCATCATCATCATCAACCTCAGCTAGTTCTTCCTTCTGGCTTCTATCTCTCCCCTTCTTCACACCTCAACAGCTCTGCAATCTGTTATGGGGTTGGAGAAAATGGTGGCTTTCACTCACCCTTGTCTGTAATGCCTCTCAAGTCAGATGGATCTCTCTGTATCATGGAAGCTCTCAGTAGATCACAACCACCACCACCACCACAAGGTTTGCTTTCTTTTCTCTTCTCTTTCCTTTTTTCTTTTCTTCTTTGTGTTCTATGTTTTGAAATCTTTTTGGGTTTGAAAAGGGATGGTGCCAAACTCTTCCCCTAAACTTGAGGACTTTCTTGGTGGTGCAACAATGGCAGCCCACCACCAATACAGTACCAATGAGAGAGAAGCAGTGGCTCTAAGCTTAGACAGCATGTACTACCACCACCAAAATGCTGATCAACAAACCAATAGGCAACAACAACAGCAAAAGATGGATGAAATTCAACAACACCAGCATTATTACAATGGACTCTCATGCAATGATGGGTTGTACCAACAGACACCATTGGAGGAGCAGAGAGAAGAAGAAACTAGGGAGACCCAACTTGCAGACTGTGATAATACCCAAATCACTGCTTGCCTGAAAAATTGGATTGTGGTGGAGGATAGTGGTGGCGCGTGTGGGTCAGGTGGTGGTCCAGTGGGTGGTTGTGGGGATTTACACTCTCTGAGCTTGTCAATGAGCCCTGGTTCTCAGTCAAGCTGTGTCACAACTCCAACCCAGATCTCACCTACTGGAACTGAGTCCACAGTCATGGAAACCAAGAAGAGAGGGTCTGCAAAAGTTGCTCTGAAGCAACCTGTTCATAGGAAGTCCATTGACACATTTGGGTGGAGAACCTCTCAGTATAGAGGTGTTACAAGGTTTGTTCGTGCCTATTTTTGTGATTTATTTCCATTTCCTACTAGTTACGTTTTTTGTGTTCTCTAATACCTAGGCCTTTTATTTCTTGATTTTCTTGACATTTCCCGTTTTTAACCTGACAATCTAGGAATATCACGGACAGGGACCAACAAACCCTTCTCTGGATCAGTGGTGGGATCAAAGGCAAAAGCAACTAAACAGAAATTGTCTTTACAAGAACCATCATTTTCATCAATTACAACATTTGCACCCCCAACCATATACAATATAATTGACAAAAGTAATGATCAAGACAAATTCTCCACAATTTATACAACATAATTGACAAAACTGCATATAAACTGAAAAGAGAAGGAAGTGAGAAATATTACATCTGTTAGGTCACCAACAAATACAAACGGCATATGATTAATAACAAAAATAATAACAATCAAGTCTGATAGTTAAACCAAAAAATAGTAATAATCAAATTCTTACAGCAACAAGAAGCCTGATAGAAGAACACAGACATTACATGGTAATTAGAAAGATATCTGACAAAAGTACCAAGCTTGGTGAGGAAGGCTTGAATTGTGGAAGAAAAGAACTCAAATCCACAACAAAAGCAACCAGAAGCCTGATAGAACACACATTATATGGTAACTGGAAGAGGTCTGACAAAAACACCAAGCCTAGTGAGAACTTCATGTAATAGAGGCATGAATTCTGGCACGAAAGAGCTCAAAGTCCGATCGATAGTATCATTTGTTATGCGACGATCCTAGGTCACAAAAGACATCAAAGATTAGAAAAAATTGAAAAGAAAGAAAATAATAATAATAAATGAAGGTGTTGGTATATATCCATACATAATCTTTGACGTGTGTGACTGCATTTCTGTTATATTTTAGGAAAGACACAGGTGTATTGCTGTAGTCAATTGATGGAGATGGCAGCTGTGGCTGTGTTTGGGGCAGCTGTGTCTATGGTGGTTGCTGCTGTGGCTGCACATACATCTGTTGTTGTGGTTGTGGAGGAGGAAGAGACCCGAACTGCGGCAGGGGCAACTGCGATGGAGGCGATGGAGGTAGTGTTTGGTTATGTTGGTAATGCAATATTGTCTCAAACTCCTTCCCATGAATTCTTTCCATCCAAGACCATCGAGAATTTTTTTTGGGTGAAAGCTCTTGTCCTAACCTCTTGTTAACCATGATCTCCAACTGGAAATTTTGATGGTGTTTTACAAGAGAATAGGCAACTAGCCTATACTCGCATCTTGCATCTGGCGTCAACATGATTGGATGATTAATTGCATTCATCAAATGCCTGTATAAAAAAAAGCGTGAGAATCAATAGGAATAAAAACACTATACAATACTTAAAAAATCATAATTAAAGAAATACCGTACTTTTCAAATTTGATGTATTTTTGCAAGTATCTACACAAATGATCCAAACCAAGGGGAAGTTTAGACCCTTTGGACTTGAAGAGAGACCTGACCATACCACAGAACTTGTTAATGTCATCCCCAAATGTCTTCTCGTACCACTTAGGATTTAGAGCTTTGCCCAACTTGGCATTTCCATTAACCAAGTAGACATTGCTTGCACAAATTTCTCCATGTGGTTGTCTCAATGTACATCTGAAGTATATGATGCCATTGAGTATATCCCTACAGAGTAAATGGCAAAAAAAAATTAAATGAAAAGACAAAAAAACAAATGAATGAATTACTGGGATAAATTGCAAAGATGACATAGACATACACCTACCCCAATATGCCAATAAAAGGCTTACTCAGCCTTTCAGGATACTCAGAATCAATGAGAGGGTTTTTCTTCACCCAATCGTGTAGAGTTCCTTCTACCAGCTCTGTGAAAAGCAACTCTTTGCCAACAAAACTACTTTGACACTTTCCAATTACTCTCAGTAAATACGGGCTGCAGTGACTCATTGCAAACTCGTACCACCATTGTAAATCTTTTGATTGTGACTCAAGGTGGTACACCACTTTTATATTACTTTGTATACTTCCAATGTAACCAGTATACATGTTTGAACCCTCGATTTGTTTTCCTTCTGAAAATTGTATTTCAAATGCTCCAGCAGGCTAGAGTCATAATTAAAACAAAATATATAGATACAAAGTTAGCTATACGATAATATGGATAAAATATTTTACAAAATGGAGGTATAGGATGAAACATACTATGATATTTGGATCAACAACCATCTTGAATCAAAATCAGCAACTCTAAAATGGGGTCACTCTCTGTAACAGATTAGAATAACAAACCACAATAAAGAGTTAACATACTGCTAGTGCTACCACTTAATCTCCTAAATCCAGGCCAATGGCAAAGCCAGTAAACTACAAGTACAATAAGGATATGAAGGCAATTAAATCTTCTCTATAACGCATACAATGACAGAAAAAATTAAAAGGTTCTTCTTCAATAGACCGGCAAAGGATCTAGCAGTTTTATTGCAAAAATAACAACCACGTCAGTTCCCCACATCACCAGCAGTACATGTAGTAGAGGTCAACTCATAAAACTAAACTAACAAGTAACAAATTACTCTACTAAACAATAACTGTACCACCAAAGTATAGACCGATGAATCCCATGAAAATGTTAGTGTCTTAAATTGTAATATCCCTACGGTTATCATCAATTTTTCAGACTTGAGTGCACATACGAAGATGAAAGCAGCTGCATGAGCTTAACTTAGAGAATCAAAGCTAAAAGAATCAATATATAGTAAAGAAACCTGATGCATGATTGCAGGGCTAAGAAGGTCAACTTAACATTCTGTGCTGATGTTTTAAGCTAAGATAGTCCAAGTGATCATAGTCTTTATCTCAAGGTCGATTAGAAGAAATGGACACAAGGTCTAGAATTTAGTGTTATAATTTAAAACAATTAAAAGTAAAATATAAATCTCTCTTTCTTAGGTCCACATAGACATAAGTACATACCATATGTATTGATCGTATAGGGGGGAACTTATTAGATCACCACTAGTCCCAAAAACTTGAGATGTTAGGAAATGAGCTCAATAATATACATCAAGCTCAAAAGCTTAAGTTGTCTGGAAATGAGCTCAACAATGTATATCAAGCTCTCCAATAGGAACAAGTGACTTTTAGAATGCTGTCATATCAGCATCCATAGAATGTTGTCCTATCAGTTATCATCATCCAACTCTTGTCCATTTTTTGAAGCCTACAAGTGAAGCAAAGATTAACGTAGGAATGGACAACAAATAAACAAAAATACTCAACAATGGAATTGTGTATCTTTTAGGTAATAGCAAATTCACTTGTAATCAAGAGTTGCCGTGCCAAAAGAATGTTCTAAATTATTCTCAAGGCACACCCAACAAGGATAAGAAAAAGGACCACCAAAGAATCCACATTGTGATAAGCTAAAAATTTCTATCATAACTCAAGCTAATGAAAGACCAACTAGGACTTTTAAGGATGGCCATAAAATATGACAATTTGGGTGAAGTAGAATTATAAAGAAAATACAACAAAATTTATAAAAAAAAAAATCACACATAATGATGTATCTTATTTATATTATTTAATAAAAATTAAAATGTCTATCACTTTAGTGAATATTATAAAAATAACATTATTTCATCAATTTTGCCTTTAATATCATTTTTGTTTTAATAATGGAGCATCAATCTCCTTGTATTGTCTTTCAAGTGTTAGATGAGACTTTTGCACTATATTTGGCAAATTTATGAGAAGAATGATACAAGACATGAGCAAATAATTGACCAAATATCTCCATTTATTTATGATGTCTTCAACATAAATAACCAAACATATACTCATTACTAAAGCTGCATATGATTTTTTACCTGTTTCCCTATTTTGTAAGGCAGGAAGATGCAGATGATATTTTTCCCTTTATTAAAACTGTTACTCTTAAAAATTTCATACTATAAAGACAATAAGATCTAACGTTTGATGAATTTTTTTGATCGTCCAAATACAAATTTTATTACGTCGAATAGATAACTATTTCTTTGATTATCTTGATGGTATTTCCCACTACAAATTGACATAATCAAAACTCTTTTTAATTTTATTCTACAAGGTAATCACAAGTAAATAGTTCTTTTAGTATTATTTGCCATGCATATTAATCTATTTGAAGGGTTCCTCATAGCCTTGAATTCTTCGGCATGTCCATCAAATTTCAAGAAACTATAAACAGAATGAGTAGGATATAGAAAATAGTTCTTTTAGTTATCGATATCCGATCAATGTAATTTTTTACAGACATATAGTACTCGACGAGTTCTACATATTGAACGGTTCAGATTATCAAACGGGACCTGTGATGGCCCCCCACAGGTCGAACAACAACCATCTAAAATTACACCCAATCATTTCATTTTTGTCAACAAACGCAGCACATCAGCTGCACATAGATGATATCAAAGTTGTACTTTTGTTTAGAAAATTGATTTTTAAAATTTTTTTTTTTGTGAATAGTGATAACTTTTTAACTTTTTGAGTAACTTTTTGACTTTTTGTCTTTTTTAGGCTATGCCAAACCAGCCCTAAATATAGCCCTTGTTTGGAAACTTAATTATTTTAGATGGTTTTTTTGACTATTTGACTATTTTAGTTGATAAAAAAAATTATATTTAGAGTGATTTATAAATTAAAAAAAAACTTATAATTAATATAGATAATTATAAGTAAAAAATATTTAATTGATTGGTAGAATGTGACGTTATTGACTATGTTAACTGTTTTCATCTCATTATTTTAGCCAAAATTCATCGTCTCAAACATCACCATAATGATTTGATAATTTATATTAATCGTATTAATAACACTGACAGTCTGGATTGATTGTTACCGTTGACGTTGCATCATGCTAACGGTGGTCGTTCTAATGTTAGGAATTCTAAAATTTTTATTAAATATTTTACATAAGTGTGTGATTCGCATGAGACTCATATAGGATGAGTTCCACACCATATAAAACATTTAATAGAAAATTTGATAAAATTTTTAGAATATTTAACATTTTTCTTACATAATCATTGCTACAAAAAATAATATAAAATCATTACAGGCTCCTCTAGGGTTAGGGGATGCTTACAGCACAACTACTGCCAGCTTAATGAGGCACCGTTTTGCTGTTTTTCTTCTCATTTTTTTTTCTTGGAAAATAATTTGAATAATGTTTCACTTAATTTTTTTTATCATGAAATATAATAATAATGTATATGATGTGATCTATTAAATTATTTATGTGTAATTTAATAATTTTATGAATGGAAGTTATATAAAAAATTATTTTAAAAAAATCAAATATAAGTATGTTGCGGTTAGATTAATAAAAAACAGATAGATTAATTATGTTGAGTATTAATTTTTCTTTAATACCTATTTTAAAATTGTTTATACATTTTATGTATAAATATATATGTATATATTAATAAAAAATAGATAGATTAATTACGTTGAGTATTAATTTTTCTTTAATACCTATTTTAAAATTGTTTATACATTTTATGTATAATTATATATATGTATATAAATTTTAAATTAAATATAAAATTTTCTTAATAAACAACTTCATATTAAATAGGAAATTCAATATAAATTAATAATAAAACATAAATATGATAGACAAAAAAATAAGAAATATATTTAATTTTAATATAAAAACTGAATACTTGAATAAAAGTGAAAAAAGTAAAAGAAAATTAATTCGTAAAGTATTTTTTAGTACATATAATTATTTTAAATTTTATTTATGGGTAATTTAGATTAAGTATAAATTTTTTAAATATTAGATTTTAGAATAATTAAATATAAGGGAATGTTACGTGACACTTTTTTTATTAAAAAAAAAAGGAAGAATAGAAGAGAGACATCAATAAGATAGACAAAAAATAAAAAATATATAAAAAAATTAATTTAATCCATGCAATGCACATAATTAAGCACATTCTGCCTTATTAATTTACTAGCGTATGCCTGTGCCTGAAGGCACGGTGTAAATAATGTTAGGATAGTTCATATACTGGATAATTAAAATCTTCATAGGCCAGAGAAGAATTAAAAAAAAAAAACCCTAAAACTTTGGAAGAGAGATGAATTTTCCCTTGCGATCAGAAAATACCGAAGAAGAAGAGGCCTGGAGAACAGAGAGATAAAAGAACATTTAACTAGTTCAGTTTACAATTGAAAGCAATTGAAATCAGAAAATGAAAATTGGAATTGAAAATCTATATAAAGATACATACTCCACAAATCTACAACTCACCCAATTCAACATTTATTTTCCTGTATCTGTTTAACATTTCTGGGTATTGTTCTAATCAGTTTTTCTGTCTCCATAATCACTTCTTTTTTGGTTTGATATTTCTTATTTGTATTGTGTTTGGTTTCGTTTTTCTTTGTTCACCCGTAAAGATTATAATTTTGTTTCTTGGGTATAATTCTGTGATGTTTTAGGTAGGGTTTTAGATATATTCTGTTTATTCTCTTTGTTCTCTGTCATTCTTTATATGAATTCTTTATATATATCTGTGATTGGTTTTAGATATATTCTGTTTATTCTCTTTGTTCTCTGTCATTCCATCCCTATTATCAACATTTGTTGATCAACATTTTGTAAGTGGGTATATATATCTGTGATTGATCAAAACACAGATATATATATGTTTCCCATGATTATAGTATTATGGCTTACTTGTGAAAGCACATTTGCAAAGACAGGACAATCCTCTTTCCATAAGACCAATGAAAAATAAATAAATAAATAAATAAATCCAGAAAAAAAAAAATCCTCTTTCCATAAGACCAATGAAAAATAAATAAATAAATAAATCCATAAAACAAAAAATTGATATAAGAAAAATATTCAATTACTAAGAACAGTGGATGGTAATCCAATTTTCTGTATGAGTAGAATTTTGCTATATGAAAGATCCTTTGTTTTACCTCACAACAGTGGATGGTAATGCAATTTTCTGTGTGAGTAGAATTTTGCTATATATAAGACTACAGCCCTAAGTTGAACCACAATGGAAATAAGACTACAGCTATATATACCCACTTCGTAATCACTATTTTTTATGTTCATAGTTCATAATACTTCATGAAATATAAGATGCAAGTAATCATTGGTTAGACAGTAAAATTATTTACCCCCAATTGCTACTTATGAACATTGGTTGCTGGAGGAGTTTACACTGTAGTATTGTGACACATATAGGCTATTATTATTCTCAATTAAGTAATTGAGCCCTAAAGTGCAATTGCAATTATTAAGTGAAGTTAATTGGAATTAATTGGTTGTCTTTATCCTTATTAAGAGACAGGGGTGAAAGAATCCAACTGGAGCTAGAATTTGGGGAAGCCTAAGAGGTCCCAATCCAAAACATAGAAGGATTTGGATACATTAAGAGGTTCGAGAAAGTCTCTAAACTAAAAGGATCCCACAATCCTTTGGCCATACAACATCCCAGAGGACATTGGATTGAAGGCTTCAAGGCATTCAAAATGAAAGATTCTTTAATAATTCATCAAGAATTAATGATGCTTCATCAAGATTCAAGTGTGCTCTTGAAGAAAAGCACTCAGCTCAAGAAGCATTCAAATTTTAAGCTCTACAAGGGGATAATCTTCTTGTATCATCTTTACATACATCAAAGGTAAGTTTTTAATTAAATTATGGGCTGGAACAATTTAAAGTTCTAATTTTTTTTAAAACATATGTTTCCACTTGGAATTAGATTTGAATAGATAGTTGTAAGCCTTATAGACTACAATACGAAATAGTGATCAATAATATGAACCTAGATAACATATTTACTAACCCGCAGCTCCAAGCATCTCCTGCAGAATAAAAATAAAAACATTATTAGTGATCAGAGACGTATGAGCTTTAGAACATGGGAGTGAACAATAATGCATCTGTCACCTTAGTCATACAGTCATTAACACTGGATGATCTTGCACAACCTGACTTCAGCACCACTTGCAACTACATCATTATTAGGAAAAAAAAAAATGATTCCCCCAATTGCAGAGTATATGAATGAACCAGTAAGTTCTGATCAAATCATCAAAACACCATAAAAAATAAAGATAGGCAGATAATCAAGTCAGAAAATTAGAAAATAAATCATCAAAACACCATAATGAATGAACCTGAGTATATGAATTGGAAACAAGAACAGGGAGATAATCAGAAAATACCGACAGAGGGAAAATCTGAAAATAAATCGTTCTATTTTCTGCTTTCTCTGCAAGCCTTTGAAGCCGAAATCTAAAATTTCAAGTCAAAATTAATTTCAGAACATGAGACCAAAGATGAGCAAGCAAACGATTTTTTTTTCTTGCATTGCCGAAGAAATAGCCAACATAAACCCAATCAGATTGTCTTTGGAGAAACCCATTATTGATTCTCTCTCTCTCTCTCTCTCTCTCTATCCTCCCTCTTTCCTTCTCCTCTTCATCGAAATATTCCAAAAATAATCGTTATCTGATGACTTGCGCATCTAACCCTAATTGGCCAGAGATTATATACCATTAATTTCAGAACATGAGACCAAAGATGAGCAAGCAAACGATTTTTTTTTCTTGCATTGCCAAAGAATATTAGTTTCAAATCTTCCTATATAAATTTCTGAAAGGGAGAGAGTTTTAGAAGTAAACCCAAATTGACTACCAGAGTGATCTTAATACAATCTCTACCAATTTATTTTTCTAGGTTTTCTTTCTCAAAACCCCCAAAAAGAGAATTTTACCTTGCGATCAGAGGAAGTCGGAAACTCAAAGGCGAATCTGTGGTTGAAGGCGAATCGGCGAATCTGTGGTTGAAGGCGAATCTGTGCGTTCTGCTTTCTCTGCAAGCCTTTGAAGCCGAAATCTGAATTAATTTCTATATATTTTGTTTACACAGTGATCATGCCGAACCACCAGAGAGGCTCCAGAAGGTACGAATAGCCACCAACACCTAATTAAAATCAAATCAAAGACAAACCCATTTGAGAAAATGCAAAACCCAAAAAAGGAAAATCCATAAATTTACTATAACTCGCAAGATTTTGACCAAATAAAAGATGACCAATATTTATAGTCCTCTTACAAGAATACAAGCTGATAATAAAAATACGCACACAGTACAGTTTGCATCTTTATTTTATCTAGATGGAGTTTTAAATTATTGATGGAAAAGTTGTGTTATATATTAAAAAAAGAATAAATTTTCATTTGTAAATATGATCGAAAATCTTATTCTCATGCCAAACACAATCACCACGAAACATTTTGTGGATGTGTCAAAAGAAGATGAACAAGAGGCCTACTATAAATTCAAACAACATCCAAGAACTTTAACTCCTCAATGATAAGGAAAAACAATAAAACATATCATAGTTCATTAGAAAACCACCTCAATGATGAATGCACAGCCACAGTTGACGGGGCAACAAAGAGGTTGCCAGGTAAATGGATTCAAATGTGAAACATGGAAATATGTCTATGTTGTATTCCATAACATAGACTACTTATCAATTTAAAAAAAGTGAAACACATCAAGAGAAAGAAAGAAGGTAATGATTTTGATAAATAAATGAGAAATTCACAATGAATTAATAAAAACTGCAGCATCATCAAGTCTCAAAAGTAACCGCGGTATTATCTGTAAACTATAAGTACATCAAAAGAAAATGAGATAAAAAAAAAAAATCACCAGCTTTGACACCAGAAACAGCATGAGGTACAAATATAAATGCTAAAACATACAGGCCATGCATACCAAGAACCGGCAGGAATAGCAACAAACTACTTTCCCTGCAGCATTAGTAGGTAGTATGTGGCAGACTGTGCACCCTCAAGGTGACCATGGTACTGAGATTGGCCCGTTTCATCATCCAATAGCCAAGGCTTATTCTTGTATTTTTCCTATGCAATGGAATTACACAATGACGCGAATTAGTGAGCAATGCAAAATACCTAATTAACATGACTAAAAGTATACAAATTTAAACAAACTATAAAGCAATGAAAGACCAGAACAATCAAAACCTGTTAAACAGACCATGGATTTCATGCAAATGCCAAATAAAATAGTCAGCATTGAAATATAGCAAGGTAATAAATCTGCTTTTGGAGGGTCAATACTCATCAGTGAAATATAACAAGGTAATAAATATAGCAAGATCAAAAGTTCAAGCCTTTGTCTTATTGATTTAGGTATATGGATTTGGTATTCATGGCATCAAGGCCCACGTAGAATTGAAAAGGTAATTTTTAACAACAGCTTAAGTCCTTTGTTTATCTAATGGATTCACGTTCACCATAAAGACCACTTTTCTATGGATAATGCTGTTCACTTGTATTCAGCCTCTCATCTTCTAAAACACAACAAATTCAAGTTTAGATTATTGCTTGGGAAAACTAAAGAAATTGATGTTTATCATCCAAGATTCAATTGGGTTAATTCCGTGCTTTAAAAGGAAAAAAAGGGGACAACTACTATTCAGGTCAACTGCATAAGATTAATACCGTCCAAAGTGATTTGTTTCACTTGGTGAAGCCAAAAGTCATTGCTTGTAATGCTTAATACTTAAAAAAATAAAGGACTCTGATCGAACTAAACTGAATAACAATAGTAATAAACGGGATTTTAGTCTTTAATGGTGAAGGTAAAAATCACTCCCCATAATGGAGCCATGGAATAAAAATGCATTTAATTTACTATAACTCGCAAGATTTTGACCAAATAAAAGATGACCAATATTTATAGTCAATGAAGCACGGACACGGACACGCGACACGACACGGACACGACACGGACACGCAAAAACGTAAATTTTAAAAAAATATGGGACACGACACGTTGGGGACACGTTCAGTATATATAATTAATTTTATTTATTATATGTCATAAAATTATTAAAAAAATCAAATAAAGGTGAAATATAGCAAGGTAATACATCTGCTTTTGGAGGGTCAATACTCATCAGTGAAATATAACAAGGTAATAAATATAGCAAGATCAAAAGTTCAAGCCTTTGTCTTATTGATTTAGGTATATGGATGTGGTATTCATGGCATCAAGGCCCACGTAGAATTGAAAAGGTATTTTTTAACAACAGCTTAAGTCCTTGTTTATCTAATGGATTCACGTTCACCATAAAGACCACTTTTCTATGGATAATGTTGTTCACTTGTATTCAGCCTCTCATCTTCTAAAACACAACAAATTCAAGTTTAGATTATTGCTTGGGAAAACTAAAGAAATTGATGTTTATCATCCAAGATTCAATTGGGTTAATTCCGTGCTTTAAAAAGAAAAAAAGGGGACAACTACTATTCAGGTCAACTGCATAAGATTAATACCGTCCAAAGTGATTTGTTTCACTTGGTGAAGCCAAAAGTCATTGCTTGTAATGCTCAATACTTAAAAAAATAAAGGACTCTGATCAAACTAAACTGAATAACAATAGTAATAAACGGGATTTTAGTCTTTAATGGTGAAGGTAAAAATCACTCCTCATAATGGAGCCATGGAATAAAAATGCATTTAATTTACTATAACTCGCAAGATTTTGACCAAATAAAAGATGACCAATATTTATAGTCCTCCTACAAGAATACAAGCTGATAATAAAAATACGCACACAGTACAGTTTGCATCTTTATTTTATCTAGATGGAGTTTTAAATTATTGATGGAAAAGTTGTGTTATATATTAAAAAAAGAATAAATTTTCATTTGTAAATATGATCGAAAATCTTATTCTCATGCCAAACACAATCACCACGAAACATTTTGTGGATGTGTCAAAAGAAGATGAACAAGAGGCCCACCATAAATTCAAACAACATCCAAGAACTTTAACTCCTCAATGATAAGGAAAAACATTAAAACATATCATAGTTCATTAGAAAACCACCTCAATGATGAATGCACAGTCACAGTTGACGGGGCAACAAAGAGGTTGCCAGGTAAATGGATTCAAATGTGAAACATGGAAATATATCTATGTTGTATTCCATAACATAGACTACTTATCAATTTAAAAAAAGTGAAACACATCAAGAGAAAGAAAGAAGGTAATGATTTTGATAAATAAATGAGAAATTCACAATGAATTAATAAAAACTGCAGCATCATCAAGTCTCAAAAGTAACCGCGGTATTATCTGTAAACTATAAGTACATCAAAAGAAAATGAGATAAAAAAAAAATAAAAAATATCACCAGCTCTGACACCAGAAACAGCATGAGGTACAAATATAAATGCTAAAACATACAGGCCATGCATACCAAGAACCGGCAGGAATAGCAACAAACTACTTTCCCTGCAGCATTAGTAGGTAGTATGTGGCAGACTGTGCACCCTCAAGGTGACCATGGTACTGAGATTGGCCCGTTTCATCATCCAATAGCCAAGGCTTATTCTTGTATTTTTCCTATGCAATGGAATTACACAATGACGCGAATTAGTGAGCAATGCAAAATACCTAATTAACATGACTAAAAGTATACAAATTTAAACAAACTATAAAGCAATGAAAGACCAGAACAATCAAAACCTGTTAAACAGACAATGGATTTCATGCAAATGCCAAATAAAATAGTCAACATTGAAATATAGCAAGGTAATACATCTGCTTTTGGAGGGTCAATACTCATCAGTGAAATATAACAAGGTAATAAATATAGCAAGATCAAAAGTTCAAGCCTTTGTCTTATTGATTTAGGTATATGGATGTGGTATTCATGGCATCAAGGCCCACGTAGAATTGAAAAGGTATTTTTTAACAACAGCTTAAGTCCTTGTTTATCTAATGGATTCACGTTCACCATAAAGACCACTTTTCTATGGATAATGTTGTTCACTTGTATTCAGCCTCTCATCTTCTAAAACACAACAAATTCAAGTTTAGATTATTGCTTGGGAAAACTAAAGAAATTGATGTTTATCATCCAAGATTCAATTGGGTTAATTCCGTGCTTTAAAAAGAAAAAAAGGGGACAACTACTATTCAGGTCAACTGCATAAGATTAATACCGTCCAAAGTGATTTGTTTCACTTGGTGAAGCCAAAAGTCATTGCTTGTAATGCTTAATACTTAAAAAAAAATAAAGGACTCTGATCAAACTAAACTGAATAACAATAGTAATAAAAGGGATTTTAGTCTTTAATGGTGAAGGTAAAAATCACTCCTCATAATGGAGCCATGGAATAAAAATGCATTTAATTTACTATAACTCGCAAGATTTTGACCAAATAAAAGATGACCAATATTTATAGTCCTCCTACAAGAATACAAGCTGATAATAAAAATACGCACACAGTACATTTTGCATCTTTATTTTATCTAGATGGAGTTTGAAATTATTGATGGAAAAGTTGTGTTATATATTAAAAAAAGAATAAATTTTCATTTGTAAATATGATCGAAAATCTTATTCTCATGCCAAACACAATCACCACGAAACATCTTGTGAATGTGTCAAAAGAAGATGAACAAGAGGCCCACCATAAATTCAAACAACATCCAAGAACTTTAACTCCTCAATGACAAGGAAAAACATTAAAACATATCATAGTTCATTAGAAAACCACCTCAATGATGAATGCACAGTCACAGTTGACGGGGCAACAAAGAGGTTGCCAGGTAAATGGATTCAAATGTGAAACATGGAAATATATCTATGTTGTATTCCATAACATAGACTACTTATCAATTTAAAAAAAGTGAAACACATCAAGAGAAAGAAAGAAGGTAATGATTTTGATAAATAAATGAGAAATTCACAATGAATTAATAAAAACTGCAGCATCATCAAGTCTCAAAAGTAACCGCGGTATTATCTGTAAACTATAAGTACATTTATACCAGAGATACAAAAAATAAAAAAATAAAAAGGGTCAAATTCTCCTTATCTGTAAATTACAAAGAAAAAAAAAACAACAATTTTTTTTTAAAAAACAAGTTATAAGTCACTACCTGCAAAGCATCAGTTAGTGGGCGACCTGAAGAATTTACACAAGAAATGAAAAATATCTCTCTCATTTATCTCAAGGACAAAGTTCACTATTTATACAGAATATTAAATCAGTTATGTAAGTATCCTATATCTAACTATATAACTACTAACAGTTACAAATATAACTACTAACAGTTATAACAAACATGATTAAAAACATGTGATACAAACTGAACTGACTAAACTCTCTGAACCTATTCCAATTACAATATAATCAATCAGCATCAGCTTCTTCTGTGACTATAGCTGATATTTCATCAGGCCCCCTCAAGCGAAGAGGAGAGGGACGAACCATGAGCTTGGACTGAAGAAAAGCAAAGCGAGCAAAGGACAACGGCTTAGTGAAAATATCAGCAAGCTGGTCAGACGAACCAACAAATTTGACAACCAATTTCTTGGAAACCACCTGTTCACGCACATAATGATAATCCACAGCAATATGTTTTGTGCGGGCATGGAAAATAGGATTGGAGGCCAAGCTGATTGCGGAGAGATTATCGCACCAAAGCGTAGGCACAGCAGAAGGAAGATGTAACTCAGTAAGAAGCATCTGAAGCCAAGTCAGTTCAGAAGCAGCCTGGGCAAGGGCACGATATTCAGCTTCAGTTGAGGAACGAGAAACAGTGCTCTGTTTCTTGGCAACCCATGAGACCAAATTGGAACCAAGAAAAACACAATACCCAGTGGTGGATTTGCGATCATGCACACTACCAGCCCAATCAGCATCCGAAAAGGCATGAAGATCCAATGAACCAACAGTAAAGACAAGGCCATAATGCAGAGTACCACGAAGAAAACGAAGAAGCCTCTTGACAAGATGAAAGTGAGCCACAGTGGGAGCATGCATAAATTGACACGCATGATTAACAACAAAGGCAATGTCTGGTCTGGTTATAGTAAGATATTGTAAACCACCCACCAAACTACGATTAGTCATGCCAGCTTTGGCAAGAAGTTCAGAGGCATATTTGTGTTGAGACAAAAACAGACCATCTGAAGTAGGTAACACAGAGATACCAAGAAAATAAGAGATGGAACCCAGTTCCTTCATGGAAAACCGAGAATGCATATGAGTAATAAGGTGAGCAATTTGAGCAGAGTCACTCCCAGTAATAAGAATGTCATCCACATACACCAACAGGAGAATGATGGAAGAAGAAGAGTGATGAATGAATAAAGAGGAATCACACGACTGTTAACAAAACCAGAAGTGAGTAAAAAGGAGGAAAAAGTGGAG